CTGTAAAAATTCATGACAAAGAAACCTGACATCATAATTCCACGAACAGCTAATAATAGACAATTCATCATGAATTCAAGGAAGATGGTACATATTATAATTTATAGAACTAATTGACCTCCTTAACTACCCACGGATTCCAAGAATGAGAACAAAGGAATCAGAGTACCACCTCCCTTTCACATAGTATGAATACATCGCACTCGCAGCAGTGTTACATTTCGTTAGTAGTCAGTATTCAATTATCAATAGTCAGAGTGTCAGTTAACGAGTGACGTCTAATCAGTAGTGCAACCGCCAGCAAAACCTTACATTAAGCCGAGATACATTAATGTATAAAAGAACCTCTTGTACTCAACATAATAACTAAATATGATTTTACTTTAATAAATAAATGCATTTTCTTTATGGTGGTATCTCAACTGGCGAGTATAATTTCATCCATCTCTCTCTCTCTCTCTCTCTCTCTCTCTCTCTTATATATAAATACAGATACATATATCTCTCTCTCTTACAAATACAAGTATAATTCTATTTCTCTCTTCTCTCTCTCTCTCTCTCTCTCTCTCTCTCTCATACGATTACGCCTCCATCTGTCTAATATCTTCAACGACGTGAAGATACTCCAACGCTACAGCTGCAATTCGGCGGACGCTGAATCTTTATTGGCAGCACACAGTCATCGTAACTTCAATCGGATCACTGACCAATTATCCTGGGATTTTACCTCCTTAACTACACGGATCTGTAATCACATATAAAAATAAATATTAAAAATCAGGTGTCTTCGCTCATTGGCAGGTCTTACCAACCAGCTAGGACGTGACACACCTCTTGCTAGCGTGTTAACGGTAGATGGTCGTTACCGGAAATATGATGTGCGCACGGAGTCTGTCCAAGTCCTCCGTGTTATAGATACCGCTCGTTGCTAATGACGATGAGCTAGTATATTGCCAGTTTGGATGATTTAGAGGTTGAACGATCGCTGGAGCGGTGATTTCCACCGGTTTTGGTCCTAGGCGGAACCAGATTCCATGCAGCTTGTACATGACTGGTAGTAGTTGGTTGCAATCGCGGATGGTTCCCGTCTTCGTTAGGATCCGTGATCGTGGTTGTAAAAAGTATGATGCATTTTGATGTGTTACAGGCAATTCGGTGTAACACTTATCAACGTGTCGTAGCTTACATTCTACGGGAACACACTTAACTAAATAGCTTCGCCAGACAACACCGCGGTGTATCCGGGCTCTCGCATGATGCGGTATGCTGTCTCATCAGGGGCGATACTCGCTATAGAGCATTTTTTAACACTTGTTTTTCCAGAGCACACTTTTGCTTCATTAAGTTTCTGTATAACTGAGTTAATTGTTTCTTTATATGCTTTTCCACATACACAAACTTTGAGTTTACATAAAGAAAAATGTCCAAATTGTCCACTGAAACTTTTGTTCTTGTTTTAAATGTTCGTCCCTTTTGCGTCTGGAGAATGAAAAGCTTTGGGTGTTCTGTCTGTGACAATTTATAACCGCACACATCCATATCTATGATTTTTGTCAATGCCAACGTAGTTTCCTGTGTGGTCACCGTGTAGACTATAGGGGTCGTATAATTGTTTGCAGGAACCAGTCGAGTGGCTATTCCTTCATAAAGAATATCGTAGTTGTCAAAGTGGCAGTTGTCGATAACAATGGGTGACCAATACGTTTCCGTACCATCTGCATCGACACAGTATCTGTCCGATGTTTTGCAAAAAGTTCCTGACGGCATGATTACGTGTCCCAGTTTCCTTTTTACGGAAAGTTCCAGGTTCTCAGTGTAATTTTTATTATTGCTTGTATTACTACGCTCTCCCATGAGCCGTATCCGTCGGTATATTGCGCTCCTGAGCATCTGCCGTCTACTGTAGCAGTGCCTGCCAGAGTCGCACTTCGGTAATTCGTTGCGTTATTTTTCAGAAGATCCATCACGGCGTTTCCAATCTGTAGGACTTCTGTTTCGTGTACCCGTCTACAAGCTCATTCTCCAATTTCCTGGAAATACTCTCGCCTCCCATTATGGACGACAGAGATATGGGAATGCATCCCACAATAGTGTATCACACGATTGACTTCTATCCTGCATTGTATCGCAGGTACTTTGTCATAATCCGACATTTGCATGAGCTGGATGTAAACTTCTTCCTCACATGGCTCGACATCTTCCAAATCACAGTTTCCAACATCTAGTAAAGAAAGTGTGGAAATATTAAAGCCCTCGCCGCCGCAGTCGTAGCCTATCAGGCCTTGAGTCAACGGGGCGAAGATGAGTACGATGATAACTGGAGACATGTTAATGGCTAACTGAATCCTTGTTGCAGGTCGCAGTCTCCGACGACCTGGTTACTCCTTCCATTTCTTCGCGTGTAGATATCCCTTCCACGTCTTCTCGTGATGTCACAGGTTTTAACTTGTCGGTGTGCACCACTCTCGATTGTTTATTGTTAATTTGTATTTTTACATTGTTATTACGTAACACTGTAGTTATTCTGTAGGGGCCAGTATACTGATCGCCTAATTTAGTAGTTGGCTCTTTTAAGAGATAGACGTTGTCACCCTCCTTAAAATTATGAGGATTTAATCGTTTATCATAATAAGTCTTAGATCTAATCTTAGCGTTAATTAAATGTTTACGGGCCAACGCTTGGCTGTCACTTATTCTATTGGATAAATTCATAAGGTAATTGGCATAGCTCTCGTTTACATTCCCAGAAAATACTTTTGCACTAGTAGGTGTTCGCGCTATTTTACCAAATATAAGTTCATGCGGAGTATACCGAGTGCCTTCGTGTACACTGGTATTATAAGAGAAACATGCTAGGCTAAGGTGGTGTCACGTCCTAGCGGTTGGTAAGACCTGCCAATGAGCGTAGACACCTGATTTTTAATATTTATTTTTATATGTGATTATGGGTCCGTGCAGTTAAGGAGGTAAAATCCCAGGATAATTGGTCAGTGATCCGACTGGAGTTACGATGACTGTGTGCTGCCAATAAAGATTCAGCGTCCGCCGAATTGCAGCTGTAGCGTTGGAGTATCTTCACGTCGTTGAAGATATTAGACAGATGGAGGCGTAATCGTATGAGAGAGAGAGAGAGAGAAAGAGAGAGAGAGAGAGAGAGAG